TCCCTTTGCAGGTGGCCCCCTTCTCCACTCCGAGCACGGCTGCAGGCCCGCGGGAGGAATTCACATGTAAATAGGCCACTTGCTCTCGGTAGACTGGGAGAAGAAGAATAAATGGCGTCACGATAACCTTGCATAATAAGCAGGCTGGGAGTGTGCATGTACTGCAGCGTCTCATTTTAAGCACACGATGGGATAAATCTCAAAACTCAGCAGAGAAAGCCAGCAACCCTCTGGAGGTGGGACTGTGGGAAAGTGCAGTTGTGCAGTTTGACACAAACATTACTGAGTCACGGACTGAGACCCTCTGATATGCATTTTAAACGATGGCTCCTTTCTTCTTACCAGCAGACATGTGTATTTATTGAGCTCCAGGGGGAGTGTACCACAGGGTTAAAGGTCAGAAAGGTCACACACATTGTGGATAATGATAATAACTAAACGTCCCTTTTAGCTCATATTTATTTTTGGACCTTTTTTCCAAATAAGAACGATTTAAATTCCCTCCCAGAGTTTAACTCTAGAAAATGTCCAAACATTTGGTTCCAGACTTTCTCCAGAGTTTGTCTTTCACGTATGAAGAAGCAGCAGACAGAAGACACTCTTCTGTCCTCTTGTGTGAGACCATGGGACAGAGGAGTGTTGGAACAGGAGGCCTGACTTGGTTTTGGCAGCTTGTGCGACACAGATATCCACATTGTTTGTCTTCTGCTCCACAGTCCTGCCGACGTCACATCTGTTCGAGCTTCCAATCCCTGACATACCTCAAACAGAAGACTCTCACACACACACACACACACACACACAGTACTAATATAAAGTCAGGTTTGTTTTATGTTGATAGTTAAAAAGTCTTGTTTCCTCCTGGAAATTCTTGTCCTAGTTCTAATACGATGTTTGTTTAAGAAGCTAACAACACAGCAGAAATGTGTTTTCTATAGTTTATATGACAGCTGCTCTTGTGGAGGTGAAGCTTGGCATCACCCTCGGAGCCTCAGGGTGAGGATCATTTTCTGCAAAGATAATACTGGGGTCGGTTGGAGCACGTTCAAGATTTGGATGAACAAGAAAATCTCCTGGTTGAGTCATCGTGTTATGAAGCACCAGCCGTCCTCGATTAAAAAGTAAAAGTGACTCAAGTCCACTTCTAATTCCCAAAGAGCATTTTTTTAAAAAGAATCCAATTACAGGGCCTACTATTATTCTTCATGCCAGCGGCTGGTGAAAGGTTTTATGTTTTGTAGAAACTTGCACATTGACTGAGCATTTTCAGTCGGGTCACTTCTGGAAAATGAGGTAATGTTGGTTGAATTAAAAAACTATGGTGTCATGTTGAGTTCTCAATCACAGAGCATTCCTCCGCCAAGGCTCAACAATCCCCTTATGAAACATTTAAATCCGTTTGATCCGGATTTTCAATTGGATCTGCACCAAATGGCACAAGCTCATAAATATCAGTCCCCTACATAAGTTTTTTTTCATGAATTATTCCCCGAGAAGTGTAGAAAATGTAAAAATAAGTAAATAAACTCAATGTAAAAGAAAGTGATAAAAATAAATTAATCCTGGATCCATCCCTTAATTTATCGAATTCCTTCTTCCATCCTTCCACCAAATTTCGTGGGAATCCATTCAGTAGTTTTTGCGTTAATCCTGCAGACAGAAAAACAAACCTGCAGCTTTGTTCACGCGTCCACGAGACGCCCTGATAATTTGTGCTCCTGCAGTAAACCGAGGGAGTGTCCAGGTTGAGAAACACTAAGTTTATCTCTGTAAGTAAACTTTGACATTTACGGCCAGCAGCTCCTCCCACTTCACAGCTTACATGTTGTAAAAAAAAAAAAAAACCTCACATTGTTTCACACGTTTTCACGGAACACACACGGAACATTTTGTACAGTAGAGAAACAACAAAAGAAGAAGAGCAGCTCTGACACAAACTGCTGCTCCAGTGCAGTGTTAAAGCCCTAATGTCTGGGAAACTGGGGGATTCTTATCTGCATGAGCTGCTCCGAACAACACGAGCACTGCACTGGGCTTTTATTTCGTGTTGGTTAAAGCCCCTCGGTGCCAGCGGTTAATGGGTTAATGGACGGCCCCTGGACAAGAGGTTTATTCACCCTAATCCACCTCGCACCGAGGATTTCACCAGAGCAAGGAGGGATAAAGGGCAGAGGCAGCCACTCTCCACAAACAGGAGAGAAAACACTCTGTGCAACTTTTTCAAACTTAAAACAGCAGCTTCAACACGAGGGAGAATGATGCAACTTTAACTTCCACTCACTGTGTATGTTTTCATGTAACACTGGTGAGTGGGTACGACTCATTTTTAGATATGAACTCCCGGAAAATGGTCGGAAAATTGGGTCAAGACATTTTCTGGAGTTTGTTTATGAAGCAGCAGCAGGAGGTTGTTTGAGGAAAGTCTCTGGAACGTACAGGTGAGGGGTGGAGCTTGAGTAGAATATGCAGGAGGCAGGAAACGACGTATAAACCCCAAAAATCCCATCGTCTCTCCAAGTTTGACGTCTGTGCGGCTCCTCGTTTTCACCCTGAGATCTTTTTCTTTCTCCAGGTTTCAACAAGAACACATGATCCCTGCAGCCCAACGTCCTCCCTCCTGAAAACAGCGCATGTTGCTTTAACAAGTAAATGAGATTACAGTGGTTACAGACTCGCCATATTTGTTTAGAGGCGTTAGACTGAGTCAGCGAAAATACAGCACAAGTGAGGGGATAAGATTTATGACTCTGAGGGCCAATAATTAACAGTAATCCTCTGGTGGCTCCACCAGCAGATGTACGGAAATGACCAGAGGTAAATAAACATCAAGCTGACTCACACACACACACACACACACACACGGAGAGACACACACACATACACAGACACACAAAGCTGAAAAGGAAGCAGAGGAAAAGTGTGAGTATGCCCTTCTTTGCCCTTTTAGTTTCCTTCCTCCACTTGGCAAACAAAGTCCAGAAGAGGCACCTGCCCTTCCCGACACAAAAACACGATTCATCAACATCTGACACAAACATGGCATTCTGGGAGATGAGCTGCCCTGTGACCACAACACCGCAGGTTCGAATCCAGCCAGGACCCCTGCTGCTTCTCGTTCCTCCCTCACTCGCTTGACGTGATTCCTCTTCTCATTAATTTGAGTTGTGGTGCAGCCCTGAAGTCTGACAAATGTGTGAAACCCAGAGTTGAAGACATGTTTTTCTTCTATTTTTAAATGCATGACATCTCCTGAGATTCAGCAGCAAACCTCCACACCACCTCATAATTATCACACTGAACTGGAGCAGATATTTTTATGGTGAGGCTGTTTGGTCATTCAGCCAAACCACCAATCTGCATCACACACACCGGTTTTAGAAGGACGGCAGCTGCGTCAGCCGGTTTGAGCTTTACAGTCATTAATTGTTTCAAAGGGACGGGAGAAGCAAATGGTGTCAGTGCAGGCATCCGCCCATCTCACTCGAAAACTACGCAGTAATGCCCCTGGATTCTCCTGCCCCAGCCTGTTGTACTGGGTCCTCCAGACTGCCCCGACAACATTTTCAACTCAGCCTGTTTGCACTGCGACGCATCGGTGCACCTCTTGACGCTTCACACTGCAGCAGCCACAGTAGAAAGACCTGTACGTTTATTTAACTGTGAAGAGCTTAAACCTGCTGAGGTTTAATACGTTACATAACATTTGGTGGGAAAAGCTACAATAATAAAGGCATGGCAGGTTTCTTTCCACGCAGCGCTCTTCATGTACAGTCACTCAAATGGAGCTGCAAGTTTTGGGCGTGCTCCTGCGTCAACACGAACATTGAGCAAGATGCTTAGAACGAAAACGAGGACGGGAGAAGAGCACGAAGTGTGTTTTTCAGAAAAGCCGATGAATCACATTCTGATGAAACTGAACAGTCACGTGATGTTTTCATATATATTGCATATTAAAATAATCTTAATAACCTAAAATATTTAATTTAAATTTAAATATTACCTGTAGAGATGTCACGTTTCGTTCAAACTTCAAACACTCATTCCACCTGTTTTGGATTTAAAAACTAAAGTCTAGAAGCGGAGGAGACTGTCTGAAGTAGTTTTCCTAATTTTCAAGTTAAGTGAATATCGTTGATGAGTGAATATCTTTGACGTATGGACAAAACAAGACATTTGAAGAGGACGTCTTGGGGGTTTCTGGAAACACAAATCGTCAGTTCTCAACCATTTTCTGGTTTAAACAACTAATCGATTAAATCAAGAAAATAATCGTCAGATTTATCGTCGGACTGCTCACGTGCTGGGACGTCTTCAAATATACGAATTGAGTGTCATGTCATATTAGTTCCATTCAGTCCGGAACATGTTTGCGTCCCTGATTTTCTTGAATAGCACAGTGGACAATATAACAGCTACCATTGTCAACTTTGTTCTAAATATCTTTTATTGAGCAAATATTAATGCATATAACGATTGTGTAATGACAATGTGGCCGACGAGGCCTCCTATACTGTACAGCAGTCTGTCGCATTTTGCCCAAACATTTCCTGTAAAATTCCAACACAGTATTCTCTATTTAAAATCTGTAAACTTCATATAAAGAAGTGATACTCTAAAGTGCTTTTAAAAAAAATCAACAGATACAGTATTAGACAGCAAGCAAGTCCATAATAATGCGGTAATGCAAGATAATACTCTTCTTCCTCAACGAAAGTCCAGTGTAAAAAAAAAAATTAACATATAAAACAGTTCGTATAAAACTGACGGTCGTCTCTCTGGCCCCCCCTGGTGTTTCAATGTTGAATCAAGAACCAAAGCAAACCTTCAACAAGTCCAAACCTTCTCTTAAATTATTTTTGGTAATACTTTTTGGAACAGCCGGTAGCCACTCATGAAACATTACACCACCCTTAGAAACAACTTCCACCACCTTTACAAACCCCGAACCCTCCGTGCATTTAATCCGTATAAACTCTTCATCACATATCCACATGTCTACAACCTTCTCGTCTTCATTCTGTATTCCTTTACGTGTCACTTCCTCGTCAACAGCATCATCGCAGGACCACGAGCTCAGTTATGGACTGATAAAACTCAGCGTGTTGAGTGTGGACCTGCTCGAATCCACTCGGGAGACAATCCTTTTAGGTTTCCTTCACATAAAACAGAAGACAAGTCCGTCTCGTGTCCAAATTATCTCTTTTTCCTCTGCTGCCGAAGCATCTTTCTCCTTTTCAGGATCATGTCGTGGAGTCTTTCGAGGCCGTCCCTGAGTCCGTCTCCAATGATGGCACAGGCCGGCTGCAGGTGCCAGGGAGTTGCCGGGCCCAGTTCTTTCAGCGCTAGCAGTTTCTCCAGCTCGTCCAATCCCAGCGAGTGTCTCAAGTCCTGTTTGTTGGCGACTACGAGCAGGGGCACGCCCTGGTTTTCAGAGGTCTTGGCGATTTTATGGAGCTCTGTTTTGGCCTCCTCCATCCGCTCTGCATCCACAGAGTCCACCACAAAAATGATGCCGTCCGTGCATCGCGTGTACGACTTCCACAGGGGGCGGAGCTTCTCCTGACCGCCGACGTCCCAGAAGTGGAAGGTCGCACTCCTGTGGCTGCCCAGAGAAACTTTCACCTTCTCCGCATTAAAACCTTTAGTGGGAACCGTGTTCACAAACTCGTTGAACTGCAGCCGGTACAAAACGGTGGTCTTCCCCGCAGAGTCCAACCCGAGGATCGCGATGTGAAAAGACTGGAAGATCGGGATGTTCGAAATGAAGCTAGGTTGTTCCGACAATCCATTCCCCATCTTTCCTCATGGGGAAGGATTTGTGATGGGGGAGGTTTGATCCAAATGTCCAGCGAGAGCAGCTTAATTCCCAAAAAACGACTGCAGCAATTACCTGAAAAACATACAGCTCATGTTATTGTGGGTGAAACACAGAAGAACGAGCATTTAAATGAGACAATGCAACTTTTACTTAAAAACCACTGCGGCTGGAATCAATGGTAATTACAGCATCAACTTTAAGTCGCGATCGTGTCACGTCCTCAAAAGTTACACAATCTCAAATCAAAAAGCTGGATTAAACATTTTAATGTGATTGGTGTCGACCACAGTTGGCAAATCATGAATCGTTAACAGTTAGAGCCTCAGTTCACATCAGCCTTTAGGCAACTTTTAGCTTAGGTTTTGTTTTCACGTTGTCAGAGGCAGCAAGAAAAATCTGCTCGATAAAGAAACTGAATGACAACAGAAGGGACGGATAAATTCAGGGACTCGATTTTAAACACAGTGGAAAGTCAAACAAGCTCAATGTGTGTGGAGACCAAACAGAGCTCAGCAAAGAAATAAAGACATTTTCATTTGACAATTTAGAAAAAACTTCATTAAATTAATACTAATTCTGCTTTTTGACCGCTGGGTGTGTACACAGGCAAATGATAATGAACATATTCACCACAAAAACTGTATAAAACTGATGATGTGGTGTTTTTAAACTTGTTCAGCTGCCAAAAAACACTATGAGAGTATTTGCTTCTGTGGAAATGGAAATTACATATGCAGGGACAACATGTCAGGACATTTGAGGAGTAAGAACAGGGTGTGTTCAGGAGAAATAGCGAATGTTCGTTAATGTGAAGATCTATCATCTCTCGTTTCACCCAGAACAAAGTCCACCAGTGTGTCATCAATACAGCCTGAAGGACAACGAGGAAAAGACTATAAAAAAAACAGGTCTATCCTGGATCTAATGTGATATATTACAGTGATAACATGACCAATATTATGATGTAACTGTTACAGTACACAAAGTGATACTTCTACATTCTTCATTTTACAACTGAGGCCTCAATTTAATTTAAAATACTGAATAATGAGCTCATAGAACCACAATGTAGTGAACATATATGAATCATATAGTGTCCAGGTTTGATTCCTGGTAGGCCCTGTGGATGTTGCTAGTACAATAATAATACACGCTGAGCTGCATTTCAGAGATGTCTCACAGTGTCTCTGTGTTGTGTTTGTGTATAAATACACAGAGAGACAGGTGGACTCGTGCGTGTCCATGAAGAACACATGTCACCTACCGGAGAGTCATGAGGAGAGACACCGGGGGAATCCTCGCTCCTCTGCGGCGGCTGCTTCAGGAACTAACTCGGGGGGGGGGTCCTGCTTCTTATCTCGGCCTCGACCACACGGACAGGTCGCTGAGGACCGGAGACAGTGAGACACGCAGCCTGTGTCCTCTGCGTCCCGCGTGTTTCTGCAGCCGAGGACTCTGCTGCTGGAGCCCGGCCCCGGTCAACGCCCACACGGACACTGCGGACGTCTGTGATTGGTGCGCGTGCTCGCCCCTCTCTCAGCTGATTGGCTCACGGGGGCTGTCAGTCACGGGTCTGCCCGGGATCACCTGTTGCTCCACAGTGTCTCGTGACACTTTAATGAGACAGTTTTCATTAGTATTATATTATACAAATATATATATAATATATATTATACTAGGTGTTAATAATACTCTGTTGAATACAACCCTGTAAATATCACAGAAACCAAATGTACCAAACTTTTTTTTTAAATATGATATTGTTCTTTTTTTTTTAATATTACATTTAAATAAACATTTAATGTAATGTAATAAAAGCCAGAGAAAAACATCACATCCTCAAAAAGTATCTCTCTATTTTCTAAACCCATCTTCGTTGTCTGTTCCATCGGTGTCACCCACATAATGTTCATTTATAGATATATTTATTGTTCTCTCTTTTTTATTATTATCTCTGTCTAGTGAGGTGACCTTCAGTGCTGTTAAAGGAAACAATAAATAAATGAATCAATCAACATTTCTGTCAACTCGCATGTAACAGAGTCTGTACAGAGTCATATTTTAAAAGCTCTGGCATATAGATATGATAAAATCACACTGTCAAATACATGTGGAGGAGTAGAGGTATCACTGGGTAATTGTACTTGTAAAAGTATTTCTGAAAATGTGCTTTTACACTGTGATTGTACATTTTATCTCAAGTACAAAGTTGCAGCTTTTTAAAGTAATCGTACTTCAATAAGTGTTAATACATTTTTTAATTGTGCTTCTACTTCAACACTCCACAAACACATTTTCTGCAAGTAAAGAAAAAGTAAAATCTAACTTACCGTTGATTCAGCTCAGCCAGTCAGCCTTCCTGTGTTTGTGTGTGTGTCTTTGTGTGTGTGTACGTGTGTGTGGGTGTGTGTGTGTGTGGGCTGAAACAGCACCGCCCCATTCAGCCTTGTGTTTTGGTTTGAACGGATTGGTCAGTGGACAGGAAGAGCAGCACATCATGCATGAAGGATAATAACACTCAGTGACTGGCTCTTTACATAACCTGCCTCTGCTTCTGTTTATCTACACACAGACACACAACAGACACACAATCATTCTATCATCAACTGACATTTAGCAGAATTCGTAAAGTGTAATCAGCTGCTTATTTAAATGAAAACAATACAATACAGTTTTAACCTTTATTTATTTTCTATGCACGGATCAATTAAACACAGCATTCGTACCCAAAACCACTTTTATGCATTTGTGTTTAAGAGTCAGACATTCCAAAACATCTTGATCGCCCCCTGGTGGCTGGCTTTCCAATTCAGCACATGAGTCATGGGCTATAAAAGAAAGTAAAATACTTTTTCGAGAAATGGTTTCTATGATTTGAGGTAGTTATAATGATGTTCATTCAAATGTTTACGTTTCTTATATGTTTGGTTTTAGTCTGTCGTCTTTTTCAAATCTAAATATCCTTGGAAAGGGAAGAGGTATTCAGTTGGTTGTCATATGTAACTTCACCACTAGATGCCACTACATCCTTCACACTGATCCTTTACAACTTGTCCAGTAAATGCTAGCAGTGACCATTTGAAATTATATTGCATTCGTTGTAAATTTTTCCATGTTAAGTTGATATTAGCTGTTGATAAGTTTTACATTTTAATAACAACAACAAGAACAACATGAACAAGTTCTTCTTCTAAATGAACACAAAGTATTTTGTTTGGCTCTGCCCTCTGATTCATGTCCTTGGAAATATGCATCACATAAAATGACTTTAATGACAATGCTAATGTAAAAGTTTAGTTAGATTTAGACAAAAATACTTGGTTGGATTTAGGAAATTATCATAATTTGTTAATAAAAGTACTTTAGTGAGAAACAGGAAACATAATCTGTGTGTAGGTCAGATGTTTTCTTAACTTTTCTAACCATTTAACAATAAAACTACAGCTTTTAATTAGCTGTGTGGACAAAGTACTTTTTATTCTGAGAGGCCAGTTCCTAAAAACACAACTAAAACAACTCACCATCTTCAGACTTGTACAGTATTTCCGTATGTAAAGAATTAAAACACAGGTAGATTTAATTAGATCATCATTCATGATAAAACAAACCCCTGGTGGTGGGAGATTTAATGACATCGTTGAGTGTATGAAAGAAAAACATGTGGTTAAAATAAGTGCAACACATGGCGGCCTGCGCATCACTTGCTTTAATGCAGTGACATTTCTTTCATTTTATATTTAGTCCCTGAGTTAAACACAGAGTCACGGATGACTCATTAATTTGTTCAGCTATTACAGACATGCTTGAAACATGTGCAGGCTTCACATGCTTATAATTCTTGGGGATCAGAGGGAGCAGCTGTCCGTCGACCAGTGGGCTTCATTCTGTCGGTGAACTTCATGACTCCTCTCGCCGCCTGTTCACCATAAACGATGTTTTATGACGTGTCTGTTTTCTCTGCCTCTGTCCAGTTTATGATCACAACTAAACAACAACAGAACTTCTGACAGCTGACAATCTGTCAAAATGTCTTTTATCTGATTTAAATTCTTTTAATTCTGTTGATGCAAATCACGCAGCTACACAGAAGATAACAAAAGCACTCTGGAAATTTTAAAAACATCTATAAGTGATGTGTGTTTGCACTTATATTTATCGTAGTTTATTTTTCTGAAAAGTTTTAATTATTTGTTACAGAAATGTGTTGAAACATCACGATGTAAGTTTCCAGGCTCTTGAGAGTTTCTCTTCTACTCGATCCAAGAAGGCGCTGTACGCACTTCTTCTTCTCCGATGTCGCTGTGAAACAGACACAGTCAGTGTTAATGAGTGCAGCTTTAATGTCGATGTAAATCTGAGCTGACTGGTGTCATCACGCTACATTTTATTCTTCTAGGTTTTTATTTCACAAACTGAGACAAACTGAGACTTCAAAACTAAAACACCATTTCATATACTGACGGTGTAGGAAGCTGATTTTGGAGGCCAGGGAGACTGAGGGAGGACGAGCCTCATATCCCATTGAGGCTCTGCAGGTTTATGTGTGTCCATCCTAGTCCTGGTGTCCCTCAAACTGCAGCGAGTGTCTGATTGTGTAGTCAGCACTGGAACAGGAAGACAAATCATTCACTTTTCAGTTGCATGAACCTTTTTCAAGATGTTTTTATGTTGTTTTACTATGATTGTGTGCTCCGGAGTGGCATAATGAAGTAGTTATTGTCTTATATATTATATTACTATTATCTTGAAACAAGTATAATAATAAAGAAGAGGAAACAGAATAGAATCTGAATCTATAACATAAAAACAATAACAAAATAAGAATATAATAATTATTTTCCACATAAAATCAGATTCCGAGACAAATTATCTGCCAAAATGAAAAATAAAAATTCTACTTACTCGTGTCCAAATGCTTCAATTTTAAAGTCAGGTTACCAGGATCCCTCTCGTGAGTCGTAACTATGTCTGGAAGGTTTTCAGCAAGCTGAAGAGAAAGATTCAAGCAAAAAATCTTAACCTTAAAGTTCCCTCTGGTTAATTTGAAGGAGTTTATCGCCATCTTGTGGTAAAAGAATAATATTACAGGTACACTAAAAACACAGAAGGTAAAATGAGTGTTTGACTTTCTTGTTTTTGAGTCTGTGTCGATCACTGTCTCATGTCTTAACGTGCACATGAAACAGACACTTACCGGTCTGAAGTCGTGAGGTCTGGGGTTCTCGTACGGTTCAGACGGAAACTTTCCCGTCCTGACGAACTCCAGCTCAGACTCCAGAGCGTCAGGAGGCCTGTACGATGTGATGAACTTCACAGGGTCGTTCCTCTTGTAAGACTCACGTGAAACATCAGGTAGAAATATTCCACTTGTTGTTTGTTGAGCTGCTGGAACAGTAAAAGTCTTCCTCTCTTTCCTCTGAGGAACCGACAGAGATCTGTACAGTTTGAGGGAGAAATCCGGCGGTTTGATGCTCCACACGTCGAGCTGATGGCTCTCCGTCTCTGGGAGCTTAAAGTATTTACTTCTGGCCAAGCACAGGCCTCGCCTCGCAGAGAACTGGGTTTTTCTTTCAAAACAGACCGAGGGCAGCGGATCCAACAAACCACACAGAGCCATCTGAATATCTTGGTTTTCAGTCCCCGGCCTGTCAGCGTCCCGACACTAGTTTGAAGTTGTTGTTCTGTTTGTACCAGTGAAAGTCATTGTTCGCCCCAGGAGAGAGAAGCAGTTGATCACAGACACAACACGTAAAAAGTGCTGCTTGGTAACGAGAAGCTTTCGTCCTCTTTGACAAAAAGAATTAAGTCAAGTGGGCTGAGCTCAGGAGGACGTTGAACAAAAACAGGAACTAAGCAACAACAACGTGTCCTGTGAATGGAAGTCGCTTTACTAGTTCATGTAAAGACAGCAGGGAGAATACTCATGTACTGATGCAGTACATTCTGTGTATTTACATGTACAAATTCTCTTGTACAGTATTTAATCACGTACTTTTATACTTTTACACCCCTAAATTTCATTGCAAAATACTGATGCGTTTTACTTTTTGTTTACAGAACATTTACCAACTGTAGTTACAACTTTGTAGATTCAGACTATTAAAACATAAAATTAGATGTAAGCTACTAATCGACCTGGCAGTATATAAAGTATTTGAAATGATTCCTATATGTACTAGCTGCAGCATTAAGGTGATGTATACACATAATATATACATAATGAAACGTGTAATTCTACAGTATAAGTACTTTGGTGCTATAAAAACTTTTTACTGTCACTTTTGTACTCAAGTAAAATTTGGAATATCAGAATTTTACTTGCAACAGAGTAATTTAACACTTTTATTTAAGTACCACCAATGGACAGTGATGCTTGATGAAAACAACATGTTGTCTGATGATGTGTCATCAACGTCATTGTGGAAAACATTTTATTTATTGTTTCTCCCTTCCTCCCAATTTTTATAATATAGTTTATTTTGAAAAAAGGGAAACAAATTTGAAGCCACAGGAAGTAAACATAATACTTCAGGAAGTAAACATGATACTTCTGGAAATAAACTTGATGCCACAGGAAGTAAACATGATACTTCAGGAAGTAAACTTGATGCCAAAGGAAGTAAACTTGATGCCACAGGAAGTAAACTTGATGCCTCAGGAAGTAAACTTGATGCCACAGGAAGTAAACTTGATGCCACAGGAAGTAAACTTGATGCTTCTGGACTGACAAACTGAAAAAGCTCCGGAGTCTCAAAGACTCTTCAGGTCGGATCACATTACATCAGCTGATCATATTTTAGTCACTGTAGAAAAATGACACAACAGCTGATGATGGTGACATTTGTATTTTGAAGGATTCTGTTTCCTTCCTGAGGTTTTGTTCATAATTAATATTTAACTGTGTGTTGAGTCACAATGAAAATCTACATTCCACATTATGGGCAGGAAGTTAAAGCTGAAGAGGATTTAATATTTGGTTCTGGAGAGAATACAAAGTCAAGTGAAGTTGTGCAGCATCTTTCCACGGTAAGATACAATAAGAAGATAAGAGATGTGTTGGATGTAACGACTCCACTAGATGGCAGCAGATAGATCCTACAGCTGGGAACAGATGATCAAATACTTAGTATGTAGTATAGTATGGTACTGTTTATAGTAATATAGTGTTAGATTTATTTTTTGTTAAATTTTTCTTTCTACTCTTTAGTTACGAAGATGAAAACGAGGAAGAGGAGACATGAGAAGCGAGAATAAAGAGATTTAATCCACCAGATGTTTGAGAGCTTTGCTTCTCCCATGTCCCATCGGCTGATGACCTTACTGCAGACAGCCACTAGGGAGCGATGAAGACATTTTGGCTTCACTCTTAGGAAGCTGTCATGTCGTCCATCTTCATACAAACTCTGTGGGTGCAACTGTTGTATAATACGAATATAAACCCTGACTGATGCTGAACAGTAAAACTTTTTATTTTTGTTATAGTTCATCGTAAAGACTCGTCTGAAGTTTTCAGGTCACGATGGCAGAAAAACGAGGTAAAACGAGAAAGAGGTCACAGCTGTGATTTACAGGAGCCGACAGTAAGGACTGGACATCTTTGTTCAGACAGCTCACACGAAGGCAGCGAGAAACCTGAGCCGTGACACAAATTGCGGCTGTGAAGGAGCTGACCTCGCTGCCCCTGTAAAACCCGGAGCCGCCACCTTCAGAGGCTCCTCTCAACCTCCGGCCCCTCAGCGCCGCGTCTGAGAGACTTCTGCCGTTGTACCCAGTGACATTTACAGCTCAAACAATCACAGGAAGCTTTGGTCAGACCGGACAGACAGAGATGTTGCCGTTGAGCCTCAGACACGTCTCAGTGTCACTCCGGCACCGTGATGGAGCTTAATTGCATCGTTGTTTGAACACTAAAAGAAAAAGTACCGCACATAAATCATCCTGTTACACGGAGAAGCTTGTAAATCATGACTCTGCGACTGCTGGGGGAAATAGACACAAGCTGAAACATTATCCAGGGTTGAACTGAGGAAACTTCTGCTCTCATGTCTGGACTTTCTTCTATCCCTCTCCAGCATCTGACTGTGTGTCAGGACCTCCATCTGTTTTTACTGTTCCAGCATCGTCGCTGAGGGAAGAAACGATTTTCAAGTCCCTGCGATCGCCGGCCATCTCGTCCCATCGGACGCTCCTCATTCTTTTTTTCGCCGAGCTTTTATCCTGTCTCTGATAGTGGAGGAGAAAGCCTGGAAATTGAACCTCTGAATAAAGGGAACGACATGTAATAAATATGGAATCACGGAGCACTCGTGTGCCGTCGGTTCAGAATAACCACTCTTCTTCAACGTAAGAAATCATTGAGCTTTCTGAAAACATCCCTGGGCTGCAAAGATTTGCTGGAAAACTGCACCGGAACTTCATGTCGGGTGAACGTGGCTCAAGAGGGAGAGAGTGTCGTCCACCAACTGGAAGGTCATCGGTTTGAGACCGGAGGTGGTCTGATTTCTTCTCAGGCCTCATCCCTCCGCTATGTTTGGTGGAAACTGGTTTTAGCAGTTTTTGTGTAATCGTATTAACAAACAAACAAACAAACAAACAAACCAACATCAAAAAAGACAGAACTATAAACATAATCCCTTCTGCAGATGTGTCGGATTCTTGTCCCTCCGAGGTTTCATTCCAACGAACACACAAAACATCAAACTGATTAAAATTAAAATGAGAAGATCTGATGATTGTTGAGAAAAGTTCTGAGGAGGTTTGTAATTTATTTACAGAGGAGGAAG